AGTGTCCGTAAAGCTTCGAAATAAAAAAAATCGTCGCACAGTACTTTTATCGATGTACGATAAAACGCGGAGAAATTTACTGTTTTTCAATGCAGAATAAATTCTCGGACAACACTTAGAAGCGTATTTCTTTAAAACCGGTTTAATATTTGCAGTTAACTTAACACCATCAAATAGGAAATTTAATATTCTCCACCTCTGCATAAGTTTATAGCCAGAGGTAGATCCAGTGCCGCGTGAGCGCAATTCTCGCACAACCTTCACTTTTCCGATCTTTCGAAAATGTGCGTAAGAAAAAAAACTCGGCATCCAGAGGGTTAACGCCGCACTCAGCAATATTCCAGCTAATGACGGCGGTCTGTAAACAATCGAATCTGGACCAGACAATCCAGTGATTGACATCATGAGCATCAATCCCCGCAATTGGGATACGATGACATTTGCATCAACCAAGTCAGCGAGCCTGACCACCCGATCCTGTTAGTCGCCTTTTACCACAAGCATAGTCACCTTTTACGGTCAGCACGGGTTGCTGAAGACCTATTCTACCCCGGTGATTCACGGGTGAATGAGAATAAACCCCAATCTGTTGGTTGTAGACCCACTCTGGAGCTCATAGACATCAACCTCTGCTCTTTTGATATAAGGATAACGCTATTTTTCAGGGCATTATCATTTGCAGAAGCCCGAGGTTTTCCATTAACTGCCCGACGAAGGAGGGCAGTTGAAAAGACCGAGGGCTTCTGCATATGATAATGCCCTGAAAAATAGCGTTATCGTTATTATAGCTAAAATGGATGGAATTTGTTATCAAATAAAAAGAAACAACAACATCGGTTTTTAAAAATTTTGCAATCAACACGAATGTCACTGACCCCATTTTACAAAAATGGAAACGTCATAGAACAAACCAGATGACGTCACTATAATACGTGACGTCACTTTCTCTACCTTATGACGTCACCTCACAACGGGCTTGATAATGGCCCGTCGTCAAGCATTATGAGGGCATTATCAAGTTACAGTGGCCCGCTCATTTCTGATAATGTGCGGGCGGTTTAATGATAATTCTATCCATTTTAGCTATAATATAAAATATATCAACGAGCGTCGATAAAAGTTTAAAACTAGAGGCAAGACTCGGAGTCTTTTGATCTCGAAATTGATCTCGACCTGTGTCGATCATGTTTGATATCTATATTCACTCGGGTGAGATTCCATTTATCATTTCAAATCGTTCTTCCAACTTTTTCAGTATTTTGAGTGTAAAATGTACGACTAACCAGCTTCAGTGGCAGATACAGTAGTGGTAGTCAATTGATTGTGACGACATGGTAACAATGACACTCACCTATGGTCTCTCATAACGACCCTGAACGACCAAGGAATTAAAGTAATGACTACCAAGAACACTCACCTGCGTTGTTATGTTATTAAGGTCTTAATCTGTACCCGCATGTATTCAGCTGCAGGCAGCATAGTCGCAATGACAGTGTTTGTCTGTTTAGTCAATATATATAAATATGTCACCGTCGCGGGGACCCAGGGAATCGCGCCATTCAGGTCAACACAATGCTCATACCACCACATGGGCAGGCAAAGAAACGGGTCTCACGACCTACGGTACCTATTCCGGCTCGAGCGCGGCAGTGTATAATGTCTCGATATATTATACTGGGACCATAACGTCAGTAAGACTACTATTAACACTTTGTATACGTTGCATTCAGGGGTTTAGAGACAAGAAACGATTGCGATTGGTTTTGGAAACGACAAGAGTGACGTAGTAAAAGTGCCAGTAGTTCCATCTATAGGGCTGACATCAGATATATGTACTGTAAGCCAGGTTCAGTGAGTGTGCCTTTGAGTTCGTATGATTTGTATTTGCTAGAGGGTACATAGGGTTCAGCAAATGTCTGTCACTAGAGTCCGGGTATCTCTCGCCAAACAAAGGAGCTAATTTCCGAAACACAATTAAGAGATAATTTACTTTCTGAGTCAAGCCCTTATGTTTAGAACAGTTATATATATCTAAAACATTATTTCATTCTTTTGAAATGTTCACTCTTTTGGGAACAACAAAGTGATGAATAGATGAGTGAAAAATATTGGTTACTCAATGAATATGTAAAAACCCACTTAAAAGAGAAAAAGAGTAAAAAGTCAATTGCTCAAAAAGCTATCTGGAGCTCTGCATACTACAGCGAGGTGAAAAGATACTCATCACTCATCTATAGCAACTAATAGTTGTCAAAAACTACATCAAAGCCTAGTTTCTACCCTTGCCACATTAAGGCCACTTGGCTCGACCCTGGCCTACCCTCGGGTAGAGTTGTGCCTCTTGTTATGAAAACGCGATATCCATGCAATCAGATCGCTATTCTTATGGCGACTACCACAGGGGATGACCTAGTCGATCAGATAACGAAAACATTCACAATTTCATCCCTGACACAAAGACATAGGCAATCGTTGGGGTTTTTAAAAGATGAAAAAGACATATGTGTCAACAAAAACAGGCAGCGGTAAATCACTTTCATACGCATATGTACCAGTCGTGGTTGCTGATTTTATGAAACGTTCCCTGATTGGGCTAGCGATGTGTGCGATAGTCCAATCATATTTAGCGCAGGAAAGTGGGCTTGATGTGGCAAGGGTGGAAACAAGACTTATAAAAAGGCTAGTGGACGCTCTTGCCTTGGAGCCCGGGCTAGGTTAAAACAAGAATTGCAGTTAGATTCGCTATCTGTCATAGATCTCCTAAAGCCAAGAGATGCAATAGCGAAGGCCAAACTAACTCTATTTCTGAGAGGTGGACAGCTGCTCGAACGTATATAAACAGAGCAGCCAAGGATAAAAATGAAATCATATCAATATAAGAAAATAGAAATCATATCAACGCAAAAACAGAAATTATGTGAACACCGAACTCACAATAGATATGTGAACCCTTCTCACACACAGGAGTCCCAAAGAGGGACAGGTCAGCCGAAACTGCCTAGGCAGATGGCGACCTCTTAAACACTTAATGCAACAACAACATCTTGCCTTGGGAAGATGTGTTCTTGAGGCATCGGGGCTGTCGGGATAGCTTATGGTTAAAACGTTCTCTCGTCACGACGAAGCCCTGGGTTCTATTCGAGTTCCATTGTGTGAAGCCCATTTTCCCTGACGTTGTATTGCTTGAATACTGTTTAAAGTGGCGAATCACTCACACACTCTCAACCGCGCGAGCACGCACGCACGCAATCACAGTGTCCTCCCAAAACAACTCTATTGACATGGAAACAAATGTATCTGTTTCAGTTATCACGAAAACATCGCAATACAGTTAATCCTCATGGTTATTATTCATATTTAATATATAAAAAAACGACTCAAAAGCTTTCACATTTTCGCATATTTCAATTTATTCAACCCAGGTCATAATGAATGGAATAATATATTTGTACTGTGGATTGTATAACACAATTGAAATACATTCGCTAAGGCCCCGCTGTCCAGAGTTGTGTGTCAAAGACGTGATGGAAACCAATGATCGCGGGTTCGAATCCCAGATTCACACTGATGTTTCTTGGTTTGTCAGCACCATACACGTGTCTCGTGGTCACAAACATATCTTTAGGCTTTCCACCCAAATACAGTGACATATCGTGATGTAACTGAAATATATGACGTTCATCTCACTTTGAATGGACCTAAATCTCATTAATCACTTCCCAGTGTTCGCTACCGTGTCACAGATCTGATTGTGATAAGATTGAATGCACTGAATGCACTGAATGCATGATTCGCAAAAGTGTCACGCGTTTCAGATTCACACAGAAGCATAAAATATGTCATGGAGTATTGGACCCCCCCCCCCCCCCACACACACACACGGATGCCTTGAGAACATTCCTAAAATAGTTCAATGCTCATAACGAAAATGTCTATTGACCTCCTCAATAAAGATTTAAAATTGATAAAACAAGTTCATTACGCTTAATTATTCCCCCATTCAAGATACATGCATGCATATCAGTGCACACAATGCAACAGAGACAAGCCTTCCCAAATATTAAGAGATTTTACAGCTGCTTCGAAACAGTGGACGTCCGGGGCTGTCGCTAGGGGACACTTCCTCTGCAAAAGTTGTTCTCTGTTATGAAGACCCGTGATGGTTAAAATTGATCTTCAATAATCCATGCTTGTCGTTAGAGGCGACTAACGGGAGCGAGTGGTCAGGCCCGCTATAGCAATTGGGATGTCACTGTATCCGAATTGCGTAGATCGATGCCCACGATGTCCATCACTCGATTTTCTAGTCCAGATTCGATTATTTACAGACCGCCGTCGTATAGATGGTATATTGATGAGCGTGGCATTAAACAACAAACAAACAAAACCTCTATTATTAAATATGTCTTCTACATATGGAAGATGAATTCTAGATCGATTAAACTTGTTTTATAGCTAAGCCACGTGTCTTATTCTACAATACCTGTATTAATCATATGCAATAAACAGTAGCGTCAGCGCAGCATACACAGGGAACCAGGCTGCTGTTACCTGAGAACACTGATATGTATTTCCCAAAGTGCCTTGTAGTGTTTATTATAGTGTAGGCGATAAGCCCGGTATATCATATCGCATGATGTTGCTAGAATGTCTACATTCTAGTTAGATGCATTCACCTGGCCGACAAACTTCTTATATATCTTTTTAAAATGTTTTATATATTGATTTCATCCACCGACACTAATGGAAAGAGATCCGTCAACTAAATTATTAATTTAATAGTCGTAAAAGTGTTTTCCCAAATGCAGTTGTATTTTTGTTACGACGACATCTCCATTTTCACAAATGATCATCCTACGGTTTGTAAATAAAATACCCGAACTATTTGTTTACATGAATTTCCCGTTATCTTATCATTTGTTTATGTTGGACTGGGGCCGGTACGTGCGTAACGTAGTGCTCCGAACCAGTCTAACAAGCAACGAATGTCAAGGTTACTAAGTGACCCCAAGTTCAAGGTAGTGACACGCGTGTAAGCAAATGAGTTCACAAACTGTGCTCGGTCACATTACGTGCAATATCCATCGTACCGACACCGATCCTCACCTGTAGCTGATCTGCAGACGACGCAACACGTGTAAGTATTTCTCGGGCATAATAACAATGTTTGTCATTTGATCTGTGTCTAAAGTCAGCGACAGTTCTTTTCGTACCGAACTGATAATCTACTGATAGCTGAGCGTGAGATCGACTGTACAGTTAGGTAGTACTGTCCATATAATTGCAGTTCAAAAAGTGTCCCGGTTTTTGTCCCAAAGGCCTGCATTGAATTTAATGTAAAACTGTTCACTGCACTGAGTCACAGATCTATTGTATGTTTGCTAATAAACGAGATGTAAATTCATGCATATGACCAGAGAATCGCCAATATATGTAACATGTCTGATTGGTGAGTGAGTGAGCAAAATTTAATGTCGTGTGGCAGTGTTTCAGACAAAGATCTATAGCTATAAGAACATGTTATAAAATTATGAAAATGATATCGATACTTCAGCAAAGATATAGAGAATCTCACCAGAGTGTCTTTTGATATCAAATATATCAACACGAGTTGATAAAAGTGGGAAAACTCTGAGGCTTGCCAAGGATTTTTTCCTCTTTTATGAACGAGTGTTGATAGATTTGATATCAAAAGACACGAGGGTGAGATTATATTTATCATCCAACATCATTCTTCCAACTTTTTCAGTTTGTAGACAGTAATTAGCAGTGTCTTCAGTGTAAAAAGTACTGCTAACAGCTTCAGTAGCAGAGCCATTAGTGATGTCATTTGATTGTGACGTCATGGTAACCAATGACGTCACAATGGTCTGCAAAGCATTGTGATGCAATTTCATTGCAGCGATATCTACAGTGATCTCACCCAAGCGATATCTCCTATGGTAGCCAGTTTTGGATGACAAATATATTTATTCAACAACTAAGTATAAGGATGTAATAGTAATAGTTAGTAGCAGTGGTAGTAGTAGTGGTTGCAGTAATAGTAGTTGTAGATGTACGTAGTCTTGTAAGTGAGTGAGGTTTAACGGTGCTGGGAAAATTTTTCCAGTTATATTAAGGTGTTTTCAGTTTAATGTGGGAGGAAAACCCGAAGAGATGCAGGTCTCAGACATATACCACAATGGTGAAACCCATGAGCACAGGTATCTAGAAACATTATCAGGACAAAGCGGGATTCGAACTCACTCCCAAGGGATGCAACTCTGAACAGCAAATTGCCACGCCTAGACAACTGTACCTCCTGTGCCCCCAGTAGTAGTAGTAGTAGTAGTAGTAGTAGTAGTAGTAGTAGTTCAGTAGCTTTAAGGTGTCAAACCTTATATTATGTACATATGATTATGATTCTGGTTGACACATACGAGGGGCGTTCAATAAGTTTTGCAACTTCAATATAAGACCAAGTCGCAGAATATCTTTTGCACTTTTAAATTTCAATATAATCTTCATTCACCTCAATACACTTATTCTATTTGTCCTTCAAGCTTTTAATACCACTTTTATAGAAATCCGCAGATTGGCCCTCTTAACACGCCTCTGTGGCAGCCTTTATGTCCTTGTCATCCTGGAAGCGTCTTCCACATAGGGCAGATTTCATTTGCCGGAACAGGAAATAGTCACTGGGGGCTAAGTCTGGGCTGTAACACTTAAATCACCCACCTTACAGCCCAGACTTATTGAACGCCCCTCGTATGATTATAACTAGGGTAGACACATAAGTACATCACATGGTTTTGAAACACATACAATCACTATCTGGATCTCAATCAACATGCTGCACCCGTTATCTGTTATTGGCAATTACAATATATTACAATAATATTAATTATATATAATACTAATATAGAGGTTTTAATGCTTAAATTTCTTTTCTTCTTACTATGTTAAAATACCTCTGAATTTAAGAATAAAAAATCTCTGTTTTGAAGAAAATAACAAGTTTTTTTCCAATTTGCCTGCCAGGGCCACTTAATTCTTTTTATAATCTTGGGCAAATCCCTGCCAATTGAAGAGACACTACAGGCTTTGACCAGTTGACGATGGAGTCTACTGACGCATACAGTAACAAAATGCCTACAGTGCTACAACTTTCTGCACCAGTGCTTTTTTCAGTTACTACTTTCAACCTTGAAGTATTGCAGTATAGTCCTGCTCGGACAGTGGACAAATGCCTGCATTAATATTAGGACACCAAAACTGTTGTTTGATGTTTTTTTATTCATGTGACATTTTCAGACACACAATAACACAGTTTCAGCTATTTAGAGAACTTGACCATCTTGATTAAATGTCTGGCTTCAGTCAGGAACTCCAGAGGAGTCTTCAAGCCTTCTTGGAACTGGTCTTTTAATCTTGACCACCTCTGGTCAGTGTAAGTCCTCTTGGAAGGTAAGGGCAGGCACCATGGATCACATGAGCAAACTTCTCTGGTTCTTCTCCAACTTCTGTAGAACCTTCACCAGAGCAAATATTTTAGGATGTGGCCCTTGCACCACCTTGTTGAAATGGTTGTGTCATCCTTTGAGATGATTGTGTCATCCTCCCAGATAGTTGTGTCATTCTCCCAGATGGGTGTGTCATCTTCCCAGATGGTTGTATCATCTTCCCAGATGATTGTGTCATCCTTCCAGATGATTGTGTCATCCTTCCAGATGATTGTGTCATCCTCCCAGATGATTGTGTCATCCTTCCAGATGGTTGTATCATCCTTCCAGACGGTTGTGTCATCCTTCCAGATGATTGTGTCATCTTCCCAGATGATTGTGTCATCCTCCCAGATGGTTGTGTCATCCTTCCAGATGATTGTGTCATCCATCAAGATGTCTGTGTCATCCTTCCAGATGGTTGTGTCATCCTTCCAGATGATTGTGTCATCCTCCCAGATGATTGTGTCATCCTCCCAGATGGTTGTGTCATCCTTCCATAAGGCTGTGTCATCCTTCCAGATGATTGTCACCCTTCAAGATGATTGTGTCATCCTCCCAGATGGTTGTGTCATCCTTCCAGATGGTTGTGTCATCCTTCCAGATGATTGTGTAATCCTTCCAGATGATTGTGTCATCCTTCCAGAAGGTTTTGTCATCCTTTAAGATGGTTGTGTCATCCTCCCGTATGATTGTGTCATCCTTCCAGATGATTGTGTCATCCTTCCAGATGGTTGTGTCATCCTCCCAGATGGTTATGTCATCCTTCCAGATGAATGTATGTCCGAGGACCGAGGTTGTCATGGTAGTTCCATATCCCAAGGCGGAACTGTGCAGGGCACAGGTGATGGTCATGTTGTCATGGAACACTTGTGTCTGTCTAATGGCAGGAGCATCTTCCATGTTCTCTATCCAAGCATCTTGCACTAGGGCTGGCTAAAAAGATCGATAATCGGAATTATCGTTGATGGGAAGAAATATTAACAATTATCGATATGAAATTGTTGTCATCAATAATAACTTACTGCTGAATTAGGCTTGAATTTCTGGGCTTGATCCAGTGGCAATCAGGAGTTATGTCCCTTCTATGACCCTCCTACTGACCAATCAGATTCCACCTCTCATATCATTTGCTTTAAACAAAATGGCCACACCCAGTGAAGACAATCTACTTGATAATCAAAATCTATTTGGTAATAAAACAAGTCTTACTTGACAAAATGCCTCAAATCACATGAGTACCATGATTTGGAAAATATCTGTTGATGCTGAATTGGCAGTACACATGATTTGCAAATCCTTTAATTAACCGAAATCTGCATTGCAGTTAACAAACCGGATGTCAATTTCGTTACATGATTTTGATTGGACTGTGCATAGACTCATTAGGCCAGCCAAATTATTACTCCATAACTACAGCCTAGTTCGGCAAGGGTGGAAACTGGACTTTTATAGTCCGGGAAGATGGCCTGTGTGCAGGGAGGCAGAACACAGGCAACCTAATCTGAAGCTCACTAAGTATTCCCTGTAGGCATTTATCACTGTGGGTATTTGTCACTGTAGGCATTTGTCACTGTAGGCATTTGTCACTGTAGGCGTTTGTCACTGTAGGCATTTGTCACTATAGGCAGTTGTCAGTATAGGCATTTTTTTCTATAGGCATTTGTCACTGTAGGCATTTGTCACTGTAGGCGTTTGTCACTTTAGGCGTTTGTCACTGTAGGCATTTGTCACTATAGGCAGTTGTCAGTATAGGCATTTGTCACAGGCATTTGTCACTGTAGGCAGTTGTCAGTATAGGCATTTGTCACTGTTGGCGTTTGTCACTATAGGCATTTGTCAGTATAGGCATTTGTCACAATAGGCATTTGTCACTGTAGGTGTTTGTCACTATAGGCAGTTGTCAGTATAGGCATTTGTCACTGTTGGCGTTTGTCACTTTAGGCATTTGTCACTATAGGCATTTGTCACAATAGGCATTTGTCACTGTAGGCATTTGTCACTGTAGGCGTTTGTCACTATAGGCAGTTGTCAGTATAGGCATTTGTCACTGTTGGCGTTTGTCACTATAGGCATTTGTCACTATAGGCATTTGTCACTGTAGGCATTTGTCACTGTAGGCATTCTGGCTTGCAAGATATTTATTCCACAAATTAAAAAAACCAATTGTATTGATTATAAAAACTCGCTGACGTGGTTGATGCATGTCATCATAACCAAACTGCTCATGATGTTAATCACTGGATTATCTGGTACAGACACTTCTTCACTGATCGCCATCATATTGCTGTAATATTGCTGAATGTGGTGTTAAACATCAAACAAACTTGTGTAACAAGTAAACAAGATGTGACGCTGCCTGAATAATATAAAAAAAATACCACTCTGATTAACAACCAGGCAGACTTTTTAATGACAAATTATTCTGTTTCTGACACAATGCACTGAGAACAGCTGGTCGGACACTGAACAACCTACAAGCTTCATCAGCACTGATAACAGCATCACTCTCAGTAACACTGCCCAGCTGTACCATCCATTCAACCTCCCATTGTGATAAGCACATAAACCAGGCGTGTGAATACTACCTCATCTTTTGCCAAATGTCGCCATCGATGGGATGAATGTTAGATTAACAGCATGGAATAGTTATTAGCACTTGTCAAATCAGAGCTTGTCATTTCATCACACGGTGTACATTAATGTCAGAAAAATGAACTGCAGGCAATATAATTTTTAATTCATGGAAAATCATGACAATATTTTCCGCAGTCTGTTTTTCAGTAAAATCAAGTTTTCTATTGAACTGGCCCAAAGTTTCACAACTCTGTAAAAAAAAGAAAAGATTTTTTTTAGTCTTCTGTAAATTCACCGAGCTGAATCTGTTAACTTGTTTCAGTGATGAAATCAACCCCCTTCAATGGAATGGCAAAAGTTAAAGACCCTATTGCTATATTCTATTGTAAAAGGTGCAAGTATTGCAAAAGAATTGTGAAGGGTACCTTTAATTTCATATTGCATATCTGTCTTTGTTTTATTTGACATGATGACAAAGCTGAACATTTATGTTTTTTTATTTTTGTTGCAAATATGGCGTTGGACCATTGTGTTACATCGATGTGTCAACATCAGGCAATGGACCATTGTGTTGCATTGATGTGTCAACACAATGGTCCATTGCCAGATGTTGACACATCGATGTAACACAATGGTCCATTGCCTGATGTTGACACATCAATGCAACACAATGGTCCATTGCCTGATGTTGACACATCGATGTAACACAATGGTCCATTGCCTGATGTTGACACATTGATGCAACACAAGGGTCCATTGCCAGATGTTGACACATCAATGCAACACAATGGTCCATCGCCTGATGTTGACACATCGATGTAACAAAATGGTCCATTGCCTGATGTTGACACATCGATGCAACACAATGATCCATTGTCTGATGTTGACACATCGATGCAACACAATGGTCCATCGCCTGATGTTGACACATCGATGCAACACAATGGTCCATTGCCTGATGTTGACACATCGATGCAACAGAATGGTCTATCGCCTTATGTTGACATATAAATGCAACACAATGGTCCATAGCCTGATGTTGACACATCGATGTAACACAATGGTCTATCGCCTTATGTTGACATATAAATGCAACACAATGGTCCATCGCCTGATGTTGACACATCGATGTAACACAATGGTCCATTGCCTGATGTTGACACATCGATGCAACACAATGGTTCATTGCCTGATGTTGACACATCAATTCAACACAATGGTCCATTGCCTGATGTTGACACATCAATGCAACACAATGGTCCATTGCCTGATGTTGACACATCAATGCAACACAATGGTCCATTGCCTGATGTTGACACATCAATTCAACACAATGGTCCATTGCCTGATGTTGACACATCAATGCAACACAATGGTCCATTGCCTGATGTTGACACATCAATGCAACACAATGGTCCATTGCCTGATGTTGAAACATCAATGCAACACAATGGTCCATTGCCTGATGTTGAAACATCAATGCAACACAATGGTCCATTGCCTGATGTTGACACATCAATGCAACACAATGGTCCATTGCCTGATGTTGACACATCAATGCAACACAATGGTCCATAGCCTGATGTTGACACATCAATGTAACACAATGGTCCATTGCCTGATGTTGACACATCGATGTAACACAATGGTCCATTGCCTGATGTTGACACATCAATGCAACACAATGGTCCATAGCCTGATGTTGACACATCAATGTAACACAATGGTCCATTGCCTGATGTTGACACATCGATGTAACAAAATGGTTCATTGCCAGATGTTGACACATCGATGCAACACAATGGTCCATTGCCTGATGTTGACACATCGATGTAACACAATGGTCTATCGCCTGATGTTGACTCATCGATGCAACACAATGGTCCATAGCCTGATGTTGACACATCGATGTAACACAATGGTCTATCGCCTGATGTTGACTCATCGATGTAACACAATGGTCTATCGCCTGATGTTGACTCATCGATGCAACACAATGGTCCATTGCCTGATGTTGACTCATCGATGCAACACAATGGTCCATTGCCTGATGTTGACACATCAATGCAACACAATGGTCCATTGCCTGATGTTGACACATCAATGCAACACAATGGTCCATTGCCTGATGTTGACACATCAATGCAACACAATGGTCCATTGCCTGATGTTGACACATCAATGCAACACAATGGTCCATTGTGTTGAACTTTCATGTGTAAAAACTTACAGTTATCTCACAGTATGAGTTTGGTCCATGCGTATTCCTTCTTTATTCATCATTTTTAGTTGTGTCGATCCCCGTGAAGATTCTGGGGTAGAATAGGTCTTCAGCAACCAATGGTTGTGTTGAGCCTCGGATAACTCAAATTATTTACGTAGGTCCCTTCAACTTTTGACACACTGGTGTTTGACTGTATATAACTAAGCATTGAAAGCTCTTTCAATTTATTTGTCCTTTTATCAGTGAAACATGGGATATTTCTACAAAGCCCCAATATTGGCTGCTGGTTATATATATTAATGTTAATTTGGAAACTTTTAATTTCATTTGGGGAATTTTTCATGACATTTTGCTGCAGACTTGGGGCTGAATATCAGCCTCTGAGCAGGTCTAGATAAATCTCTGCTTAGAGTTGTGGGTAGTATATTATGAGGGTAACGCTATTTTTCAGGGCATTATCATTTGCAGAAGCCCGAGGTTTTCCATTAACTGCCTGACGAAGGAGGGCAGTTGAAAAGACCGAGGGCTTCTGCAAATGATAATGCCCTGAAAAAAAGCATTACCGTTATTACAGCTAAAATGGATGGAATTTATTATCAAATCAAAAAGACACAACAATATCGCAATCAATACTGCAATCAACATGAATGTCACTGACCCACTTTTACAAATACGGAAACGTCATAGAACAAACCAGATGATGTCACTATTGAACATGACATCACCTATCCCTATCCTATGACGTCATCTAACAACGGCCGTGATAATGGCCCGTCGTCAAGCAATATGAGGGCATTATCAAGTTACAGTGGCCCGCTCATTTCTGATAACATCCAGGCGGTTTAATGATAATTCAATCCATTTTAGCTATAATGTCATACATTCATTGTACAGTTTTTTATTGCAGACTTCAACATGGCACGTGCAATGGCTCAGTGTTTCCGGACCATCCAAAACCTGACGGTCGTCACGATTGCCAAAATGTCTCCCCACGTCAAGAAACACAGGTAGGCGAAATTTTATTCCTTATATTTTTGGTGATGGTACAACCATATTAGGTAGTCATTAAGGAAATAATGGAAATGCAGTGACGACTTACTTGAAATATGTATAATAACTGGTATAGTAAAGTGTACCAGGTAATTTGTGATGATGGGGCTTATACCAGTACTTACTTTCGGCTTTCTACTAGGGCTGGGACGAGTCCAAATTTACTACCCGGGTACCAACACCCATATTACCTGACCCTTCCCGGGTACCCGCTGTTGGTGTCAAGAGACAGGTACAAACTGTCCGATTGGGAATAGTTTGACAGCAGCCCTGGCAAAATGTTTTTAGATACATGTATAAAACAATGTGGTCATGCATACAAAGAAGTTGACTGAAGTTTCAGCTTTGTTCAAACATATATAAGTCAGAAGGAACATGTTCATAGTCATGAAGAAATGCGAACATTAGAGACTTAAAATTGTTGTGTAACCATGTAGTTATATGGTAAATTTTTGTCATGAAACAGTATATCACGTAGTCCTGTGGGTACCCGGGTCCTACTCAGGACCCACCCGACCTGAGTACCCGAGTTACCTGTCCCAGCCCTTCTTTCTACGGCTGGGGACCGCCTCCGTGGTCTAGTGGTAGAGGGTCCGCCCGGAGAGCGGAAGGTTCGGGGTTCGATCCCTGGCTGCGTCATACCAAAAGACGGAGTCAGTATACTGTGTCTGAGTGGGGTATTCATGTTAAACTGCAGCATGGTATCTCAGTGAGCTAGCACTATAAATCAGCATCAGTCCGGACTAGTACAAGCAGCCACACACACACACACACGTGCATGCACGTCGCTATATAAGTGCAATAATCTTGGATGCGACGTTAAACCCAATTTCACCTCACCTTCTACGGCTCAGTATTGATTTTTTCACCGTGTCAGCTGGCTTGTCAATCAAGATCAAGCCGAGGCGTTTATAAACTTTATATGGAGGAAATATATAGTAGCCAGTGTTTACATTGGTCTCCACAATAAGGGGTCCTTGGACGCGTAGGCCACATTAGCACCCCACGTGCTGGGCCATCCTGAGGGATTGGGGTCCTATACGGGACTCAACCCCCCAAAAATACGAGAATTTGTACTTTACTAAGAAAGTGTGATCATAAATATAACATTTGTAGATGTGAACTTGTTACAAAATGAAAAACATGTAAAGGGATGCATGAAGGTTGATTTTTTGCATCCCATTTTTTTTCAGTGAGTATTTTTGTATATGGGATGCTGTACACGCAAACTCTGGTATGAACAAGGAAATCAGATACAATTGGGGTTTATTGTAATAGTTATTTCATACGAAATGGAAATTATGCTGTCAAATATCAGTGCTGGGCTGGCTTTCAAGCGCCAGTTGACATCACCAGTGGAACCTGAAGTACCAAGAAAAAACAATCTCATTAAAATCAGATCTTAGTTTTCGCTACTGCTAAACAAAGATCTGAGGACATCCCATTACGGGTCACGTCAGAACGACCTTTTATGAATTTTGACCGACCAATGAAATGACTGACAAGAAATCAACATTAGCCAATCAGAAGGCAGCTTTCTCGAGCTTTATTACACTAGTTTGAAACTGGCGACTAGGCTTCGAAACATATTTTGACGTATTCTCGATTATAAAGATTAAAACTGACAAGAAGAACATTCTGGAATGGCTTATAGATGGCCTAGATTGTATGGATATAATCATAAAACCTGTAACTGTCGTCCGGAATACCCCGTGTTAAATATTTCGTGGTTGCATGATCAGAAAACACATTCCGACTGTCACATTCATGATGTGGTAAGCGACCCTCTGATTGGTTGGATGAAAGGTCGTTCTGACGTGACCATTAATGGGATGTCCTCAGATCTTTGTTTAGCATAGCGAGAACTAAGATCTGATTTTAATGAGATTGCAAGAAAAAAACGTTAGATGTTCTGCCCCATGCATTGTACGACCCCCTCGTTCTACATTGGATACCACAGAAGGTCCACTCGTTTCGTAAAAATGGTATCTAACGAGAAATGAGTGTAGTGCTCTCTACATGTCTTGCTCCTGAACAAGCTGACTATACAGAATAACTTAACACAGCTGACACATTCAATCAATGGATGGACTTTTGGTTTTTGGTTCACCAAATTTTGTTCTGTTTTTCAGAATGAGCTTTGTGAGTTTTGTGATCGGAGGAACGGCCTACTACCAGCTGAGAGGCACCACTACGGTAAGATGTGAGTGAGTGAGTGAGCTGGGTTTTATTCAGCCTTTAGCAATATTCCAGCAATATCCTGGCGGGGAACACCAGAAATGGGCTTCTCACATGGTACTCAGGTGGGGAGTAGGACTAGGTTTTAACCACTAGACTACCCCACCACCCTTGGTATATCATCACCATCATCATCATCATCATCATCATCATCATCAATTATTCTTATTAGGATTACGATTTTGTCGCATGATTTTTATGTCACTTTTAAGGTTTTCACATTGTTATATCGTCTCTTTATAATATATTCATATTTCAGCTAAATGGTATCCGAAAGGGTATTTCATGATCTGATGTACTGTCTATTCAAGGAGTGTGTGTGTGTTTTGTCTGTTGCAGGCTTATGCCAAGTCTGTGGATAGCAAGAGTGAGCGACAAATGTGGATGGCGGAACCAATCACAGAGATGGACGATCTACAGAAGGTGCGTGACCTCTTTATGACACCATGGTTACCATGACCTTGTGGCCTAAGAGTGGTTGACCTGCATGTCTCAGACACTGGCATGACTGGTCGGCGCTGGATTATTTCCAGATGACTGTGTTCCAGTTGGAATAGTGCTGTCTGTGGCATTAAACAACATGCACTCACCTCCTCAGACATCTTGCAGGGGCCCGGTGTGGCCCAGTCGTCTAAGGCGCTGCGATTCGCTGTGCAGAGTTGCGTCACTTGGGAACGCCAGAAACCTATGATTGTGGGTTCGAATCCCGGTTCGCCCCGATTATGTTTCTAGGTTTGTCAGCACCATACCCGTGCTTGTGGGTTTCACCAAAGTGGTAAACGTCTGAGACCTGCATTACTTCTGGCTTTCCTCCCACATTAAGCTGACACGCCGTGATATAACTAGAATATTGTTAAAAGCGCCGTTAAACCCAACTCACTCACTCACTCACTCACTCACCCACTCACTCACTCACTCAGACATCTTGCAGTGAAATACAGAATCAATCTTTGATAGGGTTCCACTGATAATAAGTCGTAATTGCAGTGGTGATTTAAATGAAATATATAAACATTAAAATAATGTATTTAATGTGTACAAGTTAATTTAAGATGATCCTGCTGATGCTGAACGGTACTTCCGGCTCTCTACTCACCGATATTATTTTGCCTTATCAGCTGGCAGAGGAGTTTAGATGAACTGTTCTACTTTCAGAATTCTGGTGACATGAAAATGAGGATGGAGAAGATGATAATGAGAATACAGGTAATAACAAACTTTATTGATAATGAGAATACAGGTAATAACAAGCTTTATTGATAATGAGAATACAGGTAATAACAAACTTTATTGATAATGAGAATACAGGTAATAACAAGCTTTATTGATAATGAGAATACAGGTAATAACAAGCTTTATTGATAATGAGAATACAGGTAATAACAAGCTTTATTGATAATGAGAATACAGGTAATAACAAACTTTATTGATAATGAGAATGCAAGTAATAACAAGCTTTATTGAAAAGAGAATACAGGTAATAACAAACTTAACTGATGATGAGAATACAGGTAATAACAAACTTTATTGATAATGAGAATACAGGTAATAACAAGCTTTATTGATAATGAGAATACAGGTAATAACAAGCTTTATTGATAATGAGAATACAGGTAATAATAAACTTTATTGATAATGAGAATACAGGTAATAACAAACTTTATTGATAATGAGAATGCAGGTAATAACAAACTTTATTGATAATGAGAATACAGGTAATAACAAGCTTTATTGATAATGAGAATACAGGTAATAACAAGCTTTATTGATAATGAGAATACAGGTAATAATAAACTTTATTGATAATGAGAATACAGGTAATAACAAACTTTATTGATAATGAGAATGCAGGTAATAACAAACTTTATTGATAATGAGAATACAGGTAATAACAAGCTTTATTGATAATGAGAATACAGGTAATAACAAGCTTTATTGATAATGAGAATACAGGTAATAACAAGCTTTACTGATAATGATTATACAGGTAATAACAAACAGGCCTCAAAGTTTAATTTTTTACCAAGTAGCCATATGGCTACAAGTATTTTTTTCAGGTTGCCAGTTGTAAGAAGTCAAGCCAATATTGTAGGTAGACAAAAGCATTTGAAATTATCTTTTATCAAATAACTAGTATTGTATATTAGTGGAAACTATACTTGAGTTTTGTTATTTGTGACTTAAACAATGATGCAATTTAAATTATGTTACTAGATCATATAGGTATTTCCTTGTTTATCCAATCAACTATCAACTAAAATAAAATACTAATTACATTAATATTTATGTATTTCAGTTCATTGTTGACTTTAAGAGGAATTATTTGCGAGCACAATTAGCAGCAGACATGTTTATTTTTGTGTCTACACATGTGTAGCAATAGAATTTAGTTGCCACAAGATATTTTTCAAGGTAGTCATTTGGCTACCTCAGAATTTTAGACAGAAGACAAATTGAAATTCCGGTCGCATTGGCGACCGTTTTAGTCGCAACTTTGAGGCTTGATTGATAATGAGAATACAGGTAATAAAAAACCTTATTCACACGGTTTTCAGATGTTGTTGCTTTCCAAATTTGTAATGAGATGAAGAGATGAGAGAATGTATGGATGTCACCTTCTTTGTTATGAGGAACACAACGTTTCAGAGTATATACTTACTCCTTCATCATGTGAATGAATGCCATGAAGCAGAGAATTTATATATGTACCTGTAAGAACACCAATATCAGTGATCAAGTCCTGCTATCACCTATCAGGGCTAATTAACTGCTTAGTGTTGGCTTCCATTTGCCCATTGTTAATCACCTATCAGCACCAATTAACTGTTGGCTTCCAGAGCTTCAGATAACATTTTGAGCAATTGAGTTTCAACTCGAAGGTTTTCAATTTTAATTGGGTTATTACATTTTTCATTGGGTAACCAATATTTTTTCACTCATCTATTCATCACTCTATAGGGTTTTTCTCAAAATGAGTGAACATTTTGAGATTTCAAAAAAATAATGATAATGTTCTAGACGTATATAAGGTATCTAACTATAGGCTTGACTCAGAAAGTAAATTAGCTCGTAATTGTGTTTCGGAAATTAGCTCCATTGTATGCATGCTGAAAAAGCTTCATTGGATATTAAAGCATGCTGTTATTCATCTTCCCGAGGCAAGAGAGTTAACTGACTTTAAAAGTCCAGTTTCCACCCTTGCCGAACTAGGCTGGATCACCAGTGGCTATTACGAGTTATGTCCTTTCTATGCCACTCCTATTGACCAATCAGATTCCACCTCTCGTATCACTTGCATTTGCTTCAAACAAAACGGTGGCGCCCAGTCAAGACGATCTGATTGATAATCAAGATCTATAGTGTGATAAAATGAGTCTTACATCGCGAAGTGCCTCAAATCACGTGAGCACCTTGATTAAAAGCATGAAAAGATTTAGAAAATATCGAGTTAGCGGTGCACATGCTTTGCAAATCCTGCAGTCGACCGAAATCTGCATGACACTTTACGAACCGGATTTCGATTTCGGTGCGCGATTTTGATTGGACTATGCATACACTCGTTAGTCCAGCCAAAATAGAACTCCATAATACCAGCCTAGTTCGGCAAGGGTGGAAACTGGACTTTTATAGTCAGTAAACTCACTTGCCTCGGGAAGATGGCTGTTATTATACATTTGAGTTTTTCATTTAATGCATGCGTTTCTGTAAGCAAATTAATTTAAAGTAATTGATTTTTTAATTTTTTTTTTTTTTTTTTTACGCAAATACGCTGCTTATCTGTAGCTCTGGGCTTCCCTTGTTAAGTTTACACCTTTGTTATGTTATTGCTTTTTTTTTTCTTACAGGCAGATATATATATGTTCTCTGCTACATAGCATTTAATTCATATATACTCCGAAACGTTGTGTTCCTCATAATATAAAAATGGACATCCATAAATTCTCGTTATGTGTATCACTTCTAAATGCCTTAAATAATTAGATAAAATCCTATAAAGAACTGTTGACTATATATCCAGGTGAGCTACAACTCTGCGGCACTATTTTGTACCTCAAATGTAATTGAGATAGTAAGTAAATAAATTATAACTATAAGAATTACTGCCAGCTTCAGTGCGTGTGTACCTGCTATACCCTATTTCTTCCAGGATGGTCCAGGGCCCACTTGCACAGAACAATCTTAGTTACAATCGATCTTAGGCGGCTACAATCAACTTTACAATCACCCTACAATTGTCCTATTCCACTTGCACAAACCGATCTTAACGCGATTGTAAGACGGCTTGGATTTAAGATCGCGATCTTAACTAAGATTGAAATCTTTAATGGTGGAGGTACAAATATCTTAAACTAGACTCGTGTCTATGGTTGTCTGCAAACGCGCAAATCTTGCTGCGCATACAACGTGTAGAACCGGTTACGACATACAACACGTACCTCCCTCCACGCACCTTGCACAGTTGAAAGGTCTCAACTATTTGAAGGAAACTATAATTAGAATGTTGGCATATAGATTTAGTGACATTCTTATTATGAAAGTAAAAAAAGAAAATAATAAAAGATCTCTATGTCCAAATAACATAACAGGTAAATGTATGATCGTCATCTATTTGGGGGAGCTTTCCGTAAAATCCTAAATACATGTATATCCTTCATGTTTTAGTTTTGCCGCTATTACAAAGGATGTTATGACAACCTTTTCAAAACACAGTAAGACGGGAGATTTCAAGAATGCATGTACGGGAAATAAGAATAATGTTTCAAGAAAGAAGTTGTTTAATATATATTCATTTGGTATTAATTATATTTTTTAAAAAGGTGTGAATTTTACTTTTGCTATTTATGGGATATTTTACACAAATTTCAAATGTCTCATCATGTGTATTTGCTTGTTTGATGAATATTTGTATTAGTTTCTTATAAATTCAGATATTACAACCGCTCGTGACTGTCCCACTCGATTTTGGATATAAACGTATGATTTTGCACTTCAACTTGTGTTTTCTTGTAGATTATTTAATGATAAACTAAAGACAAAATAACTGACACGAATGTGACCCAAAAGATATACAAGGGGAGCTAGGCGGTTCTACAACATTAATACACTAACTGGGCAAGGAAGATTCTACGATACTTATACAAAGGGAAACCACTCCCATCTAGAATATAAACTATGATTAGCTGCCCTTGATTTATCTTAAAGGTCACGGACGTTACAAATCGCTTGCAGACGACTTAGGTTTTATCCTTCCCTTGATAAGGTATGTTGTTTTAGACTTCTTTCAGCATTGACTATGTGGTTCACTATCGCAATTAACGATATTTTTTACGTTAAATCTGTGGTGCGGTCTTCGTGTTGTTGAAGTGTCGATTCGAATCATAAAATCTAACAAAATAAATAGGCAGTGTTTGATCGTAAAGCAGATTATTAATGTGAAACTGGCCCTGTCTTGCACGCCATTTTGTCAGGGACTACAACGATCTTAGCTACTTAAGATTGGTCTGGACCAATTGTAAGTTTCGATTGTAGCTTACAATGATCTTAACCTACAATCGCTTTGTGCAAGTGGATGACAATTGTAGCGTAAGCCTAAGATCGCGATCTTAAGGATTTACAATAATTGTAGCGCTAAGATCGCTTTGTGCAAGTGGACCCAGGTCTGAGGATGAGGTTTTCGATGAATATTCATTAAAACTATTTTTGATAAATCTTCTGATTGTAGCATTTGGCTCCTGTCTTTAGAATCTTCAAACCATAAAATATAGAATGTGTTGCCTTGGAAAGGAACTACTTTCTTTCTCCCAGGCAAACCCGTGTATCTAGTAAAGGGAGGTAATGCGTCTAGCCTCTAGTTGATGTTTAAGAGATGTATAGAGGTGACTGTTCGTACTCTGTCCTCTCTTGCTTGATGAAACCCGTGAAGATCTGGGTTAGAATAGGTCTTCAGCAACCCATGGTTGCTGTAAAAGGCGACTTGCTTGTCGTAAGAGGCGACTTACGGGATCGGGTGGTCAGACTCACTGTCTTGGTTGATGCATGTCATCGATCCAAATTGCATGGATCGATGCTCATGATATTAATCACTGGATTGTCTGGTCCAGACTCGATTATTAACAGACTGCCGTCATATAGATGGAATATTGCTGAGTGTGCGTTAAACAACAAACCAACCAACCAAATCTTGCTTGATGTTCAAGGAAGTTACAGTTTGTTTTTCTGTTTTTCTGACTTTCAGGGTGAAGTTTGTCGAGCTTTGGAGGAGGCAGATGGAGAGAAGAAATTCCTGGTGGATAGATGGAAGAGGAAAGAGGTAGGTTTAAGTGAAATCTTTATGTGCAAGAAAACTTCTAAATTTCCATACCTTACCCCCTAGGGGAATCCGGGTTATACCCCAAGCAGCCTGTGCTGGTCGTAAGAGGTGCCCAAATCGATCAGGTGGAAAAAGTTTTTTATTCGCATTCATAACAAATTACAGATGAAAGAACAGATGCAATATTTTGCAGTATGTATCGCAATACATGAATTATTATTGCAATACATTGCAACATGAAAGTGAGACTAATACCCAATTACCCATCACTAATAGCTACCGTAGTCGGATTTGCTGACCTGTCTATGACCATGACCTTTCTGTGACCCAGGGAGGCGGTGGCATCACTTGTGTCATGCAGGACGCCACAGTGTTTGAGAAGGCTGGCGTTAATATCTCCGTCGTCCATGGCAACCTCCCCCCTGGTGCCGTCCAACAGATGAGAACAAGGTAATATTGTCTCAGCAATGATTGTTTTCATTTTCAATTTTAATAATTTGCACTAGATTCTTGATGTGGTGGTGTATTGTTTTAATGAACATGAGAGTTGAGGAGCAGATCAACATGCAAACTATCATTTGTTAAAGTTGTCAAGGTTACTTTTAAGGTCGTTTACTCATTGACTTTGAAGTGGAAGTTCTTATTACTTTGTTATTAGCATAGGCGGATCCAGAGGGGGGTCCGGGGGTCCAGGGGGTCCGCCCCCCTTTTGAAAACCAAATGTATGTTGTAGGCAGTAAAACTGACTGAGAGAGGATTTTGATATTTTGATCCCCTCCCCTTTAATAATGCCAAATCTGCCCTTGATTAAGGGCTGATAGCACAGGACTGTCTGTTTCAAAGTTTATGATTCCGGGCATGTGTTTTCCTGAACCAGAATGATTATATTAAAGTGGATGTGCTTATAACTTGGTTATTATTTGTTTGTGTTTAACGCCGCACTCAGCAATATTCCAGCTATATGACGGCGGTCTGTTAATAATCGAGTCTGGACCAGACAATCCATTGATTGATATCATGAGTATCGATCCACACAATTGGGATCAATGACATGCATCAACCAAGTCAGCGAGCCTGACCACCCGATCTCTTATGACAAGCATAGTAGCCTTTTACGGCAAGCATGGGTTGCTGAAGACAAATTCTACCCCGGATCTTCTCAGGTCCTTTGTTATAAGGGTAGAAAGAGCACAGGACTTTCTGTTTCAAAGTTGTCTTGCGTGTGGCGTATGTTTTCACAAACCTGAACTGATGTTCTCAAACCAGCATAATAAATTAATATGGCCAGAGGCCTAGGACATCCAGTTTCAAAGATGTCCTGCTCTTGGCATGTGTGTGGTCAACCAGTTTCAAAGATGTCCTGCTCTGGGCATGTGTGTGGTCAACCAGTTTCAAAGATGTCCTGCTCTGGGCATGCGTGTGGTCAACCAGTTTCAAAGATGTCCTGCTCTGGGCACGTGTGTGGTCAACCAGTTTCAAAGATGTCCTGCTCTGGGCATGTGTGTGGTCAACCAGTTTCAAAGATGTCCTGCTCTGGGCATGTGTGTGGTCAACCAGTTTCAAAGATGTCCTGCTCTGGGCATGTGTGTGGTCAACCAGTTTCAAAGATGTCCTGCTCTGGGCACGTGTGTGGTCAACCAGTTTCAAAGATGTCCTGCTCTGGGCATGTGTGTGGTCAACCAGTTTCAAAGATGTCCTGCTCTGGGCATGTGTGTGGTCAACCAGTTTCAAAGATGTCCTGCTCTGGGCATGTGTGTGGTCAACCAGTTTCAAAGATGTCCTGCTCTGGGCATGTGTGTGGTCAACCAGTTTCAAAGATGTCCTGTTCAGGGCATGTGTGTGGTCAACCAGTTTCAAAGATGTCCTGCTCTGGGCATGTGTGTGGTCAACCAGTTTCAAAGATGTCCTGCTCTGGGCATGTGTGTGGTCAACCAGTTTCAAAGATGTCCTGCTCTGGGCATGTGTGTGGTCAACCAGTTTCAAAGATGTCCTGTTCAGGGCATGTGTGTGGTCAACCAGTTTCAAAGATGTCCTGCTCTGGGCATGTGTGTGGTCAACCAGTTTCAAAGATGTCCTGTTCAGGGCATGTGTGTGGTCAACCAGTTTCAAAGATGTCCTGCTCTGGGCATGTGTGTGGTCAACCAGTTTCAAAGATGTCCTGCTCTGGGCATGTTTGTGGTCAACCAGTTTCAAAGATGTCCTGCTCTGGGCATGTTTGTGGTCAACCAGTTTCAAAGATGTCCTGCTCTGGGCATGTGTGTGGTCAACCAGTTTCAAAGATGTCCTGCTCAGGGCATGTGTGTGGTCAACCAGTTTCAAAGATGTCCTGTTCAGGGCATGTGTGTGGTCAACCAGTTTCAAAGATGTCCTGCTCTGGGCATGTGTGTGGTCAACCAGTTTCAAAGATGTCCTGCTCTGGGCATGTGTGTGGTCAGCTGTCACAACTTACTGGTGGTAAAGTCAAAATGGTTCACGATGCATGTTTCTGGTGGGGAAGTTTTAGGGTGCTCAGGATACGCTGTGGAGGAGTCTTTATCTGGGTTTTTTCTTGTTATACTAATAACTTTCTAGTTGTCATTGCTGTTGTTGTTGTTATAATGGTATGATACTATTATGGCAGTATCGATAAATCATGTAATCCACACACCCTGTCGACAGTTTACTAATACAAATCTTAGCCAATGTTTCGTTGCTTGATCAAATACAGGACTCGTTGCAGTCTGTCACGGCTACTCGTAATTATGCACATGAACTTTTTTATGATTGTTTCTGGAATGTTTTTGAAGTGGAATTACCCCTGCCTCCATTTGAAATTGGTTAAAAAAGAACCCATTTGTTTGGACGATGTTGCTTGACCCAACCTAGGTTGTATGAATACTGATTATGCATAATCCAAATCAGGAAGTGATGTAAACTACATAATCCACACGTATCACACCACAAAATAGTGATACCAAGATAATATAGAGTTACCCGCCCTTGAGTCGTTTAATGACAGGTACTTTGTTTACCGAACTCATAAGAAAATCAGCATCGATCAATCCTAATTGATGTGTCATAAAAGTTGAAATATTTAATAGGTTAGTAAGCATTCGCCATTTCGATCCATTATAAATTACCTACGGAGATATTGTAGCGTACCATGCTATTATTTTGATGTTTACTTCCAGGGGTAAGAAGCTGGAAGGAACCTCACTCCCATTCTTTGCTGCCGGCATCAGTGCAGTGATTCATCCAGTAAGTTGACAGGAGACCCTTCCAGGCAAATACAGGACGTCCTCGTCTGTCTTATCAACCTCCAGTGACATCATTCTATTGTTCTCCAGTCAGGTTAAATCTCATAAACAGCAATCTCATTAAAACCAGATCTTAGTTCTCGCTGCCGCTAAACAAAGATCTGAGGACATCCCATAACGGGTAACGTCAGACCGACCTTTCGCTAACTCTGACCGCCCAATGGAATTACAGAAAAAAGTCGACATTAGCCAATCAGAAGGCAGCTTTCTCGTGCTTTACGGCACTAATTTCAAATTGGCGAGTACGCTTTGAAACATATTTTGAAAAATTCTCGAATAAAAATTTGAAACCTGAACAAAAGAACATTCTCGAATGGCTAATAGATGGTCCAGATTGGATTCTAAGGCGCTGCGATTCGCTGTGCAAAGTTGCGTCCCTTGGGCACGCCAGAAACCTATGATTGTAGGTTTGAATCCCAGTTCGTCCTGATTATGTTTCTAGGTTTGTCAGCACCATACCCATGCTCATGGGTTTCACCGAAGTGGTAAACGTCTGAGACCTGCGTCACTTCAGGCTTTCCTCGCACATTAAGCTGACACGCCGTGATATAACTGGAATACTGTTAAAAGCGGCGTTAAACCCAACTCACTCACTCACTCATTTCAGAAACCAAGCTATGGTGGCCAATGGCTCCAGAGTATGTACTGTGTTAGAGTGGAGATACAAACAGTGGTTGAGCAGAGTCGTGTGTTGAAGTAATTCTACTCAACCGACTGATATGGTACACGTATTACTTTCCATGTTTGTTTCAGAAAAATCCCCATATTCCCACGATCCACTTTAACTACCGGTACTTCGAGGTGGAGACCAAAGATGGCAAACAGTGGTGGTATGGCGGTGGAACGGATCTCACACCCAACTTCCTGGTAGAAGAGGTGTGTATCGAGGCCCTTACAGCGCTGTCTCTGTCTGTGCCAAAAACTCTTCACCCAATACAACTAGACATTCGGAACAGTAAAAAAAAACTTGCCACCAGCCTGGAATTTAGTATACTAGTCCTAAATGGTACATCATTGCACAGGATGCAAATATTTTATAATAATACGGTTTCAGAACCATTGCATTATTCCATGGCATGTTTACAAGCATAGAGTTTGCATTAATTTACTTTCAATTTGTATTAATTTGCATTCAATTTGCATTAATTTACTTTCAATTTGCAGTAATTTACTTTTAATTTCAGTGATGTGTTTAATGAGTGGTGCTGCAAATGCCAAATATGGCCAAGAATATATTTTGCTTATTTCAATTTGCATTCAATTTGCATTAATTTGCATTCAATTTGCATAATTTGCATTAATTTGCATTCAATTTCAGTGATGTGTTTAATGAGTGGTGCTGCAAATGCCAAATATGGCCACGAAACTGTTTGACGAAAGATACTCCACTATTCCGAGAGGTTGTTGTCTTAGATTCGGGCTTCGGACTTGTGGCTAAGTGTGGAGTTGTGTCCCTTTAGCCAGAAAGTGTTGATCTTGGATGCGAATTAATTGTTTGTGGTAAATGTATTTCGAACTTGATGGTCCGAATCTCCGAGTTGCCCTGATTACGTTTCTAGGTTTGCTCGTGGGTTTCACCGAAGTTGTAGTTGTAGATATCTACCAGCTTCACATCTGGCTTTCTTTCCACTTGAAGCAGACCCATTATGATATAACTGAATTACTGTTCAATGCAGTGTCCAACCAATCTCACTCACTCATTCCGGGGGCAATGGGGGCCTAGTCGTCTAAGATGCCGCGATTAGCTGTGCAGAGTTGCGTCTCTTGGACACACCAGAAACCTATGATTGTGGGTTCGAATCCCGGTTCGCCCCGTTTATGTTTCTAGGTTTGTCAGCACCATACCCGTGCTCGTGGGTTTCACCGAAGTGGTAAACAGCTTGGGCCTGCATCACTTCGGGCTTTCCTCCCACATTAAGCTGACACGCCGTGATGTAACTGGAATACTGTTAAAAGCAGTTTTAAACCCAACTCACTCACTCAATCGTCTGTTTATTATATTATCCATTCTCTCATTCATTCATTGGTTCTGTCAGGATGTGAAAAACTTCCATCAGACGTTGAAGTCCGCGTGCGACAAACACAACAAGGCGTACTACCCTCGCTTCAAGAAATGGTGTGACGACTACTTCTTCATCAAACACAGAGGTCAGAATGATAGCATTAATTCAGAAAATAACCCTCTTCCATATAACATGCCGACCAGTGTGACCTATCATACACCCGTAAACCTTGTTATCGGTAATTTTGTAATTGGCATGAACTATCTTCATCTTATCAGAGAGATAAATCCCCATCACTGCTGAATAATAAACTAATATCATCCATCGAGAGGGTACTGATATCAGATAATGCGACTGGTCAAAGTTCAAGAGTCACATCAAGGTCAGCATCATTGAAGCACCAATGCCACATTGTGGCTGTCAAGAGACCCTTTGACTTCCTTTAAAATCACCTACCTGGCATAATACAATTTTTAATCCTAATATATGTATGTAGGGCTGGGACGGGTAACTTGGGTACCCAGGTCCGGTGAGTGCAGAGTAGGACCCGGGTACCCACAGGACTACCAGGACCCGTGGTTAGTCACGTTATATATTGTTTCATGACAAAAATTCACTATATAACTACATGGTTACACAACAATTTTATGTCTCTAATGTACGCATTTTTTCATGACTATGAACACTTTCCTTCTGACTTGTATATGTTTGAACAAAGATAAAACTTCAGTCAACTTTAGTGTATGCATGACCACATCGTTTTATACATGTATCTTAATACATTTTGCCAGGTCTACTATCAAACTATTCCCAATCGGACAGTTTGTACCTATCTCTTGACACCAACAGCGGGTACCCGGGTAGGGTCGGGTAAAAGGGGTGTGGGTACCTGGGTAGTAACTTTGGACTCGTCCCAGCCCTATATGTATGATATTTATGATACGGAAACACGCTAGGCAAACAATCTCTGGAGTAACTTTAACTCAGCCCTGGCAGGGATTTCAAGACTGGATCTGATCAACATCTGTTTTTCAAGGGGTGGGAGAAGGGGTGGACTCCTTTTGTCACAAGTTTTACTTACCTCAACAACAAATATTCTCTGGACCTTTGACTAATGAGATTTCACTGGAAATAAAATCAGAAAGGAATAGTAGGATAAGGCTGTTTCAGCCCACTGGAAATGTCAGATTTTAAAGAAAACTTTTTAAGGAAATTCAGTTTGGGCAAAAGACTTGCTCAAAACTTATAAATACACTTCCTGAAAACCTGTAAACCAGCCATTATGACACATTGTATCCTTACCTATGCATTATGTGTTATAAGTCCCAAACATGCAGGGTTTGAAATGAATGAACTGTTACTCGCTTTCATTTTGGACACATCTGAAAACTTTCATAATGATCTGTAGAGGTCTGAAATAAAGCCAATCATGTGGCCCAAGAAAGACCCTTACCCCACCGTGTCCTTTATCAGAGTTGTATACAAATATTACATGGGATTACCATATTTGGCATTTTCTAAATTTGTTAGTGAAACTAACATTGACATATTGGTGCCAGACCAGTGTCCGAAATAACTGCCTGCCCGTCTGCCCGAGGGAACTTTTCTGTTGGGCTGCATGAAATTTTTCTAAGACTACTTTAATACCGGTACATATTTGGTTTATTATAACTCCCTGTAGATTCTCAAGCAATTTTTTGCATTATTTCAGCTGAATCAAGACATGATTTGTCTCTTATTTTTTGCAATTTGTCAATATTTATAATGGCTGAGGAAGTAATTTTGAAAATGGGCAGGCAACACTTTGAGTCATTGATGCAACTGTCTTGTTGGGTTTTAAAATTATTTCAAACGCTGTGACAGATGCTTAAAATGGTGAATACGTCAGGGTATTTTGTTAGCTGGAGATGAGACAGCCTGGTATAGATATCCTGTAGACATCATCCATTAGTTCTATACAGAAGTAAGTTGTCTTAATTAAGACAGATCCGTGAGGATCCGGGGTAGAATAGGTCTTCAGCAACCCATGCTTGCCATAAGAGGAAAATATGCTTGTCGTAAAAGGCGACTAACGGGATCGTATGGTCAGGGTCGCTGACTTGGTTGATGCATGTTATCGTATCCCAATTGCATGGATCGATGCTTATGATGTCAATCACTGAATTGTCTGGTCCAGATTTGATTATTTGCACACTGACGTCATTTTGCTGGAACATTGCTGAATGCGGCGTCAAACTACAAACAAACAAATAAATAATTAAGAAAACATATTCCATGTACATGAGAACTGGACTAATACCACTACAAAGGTTCAAAAGTAGCCCTGAAATCTATCAATGTGTTATTCAGGTGAATGTCGAGGTGTTGGGGGTATTTTTTTTGACGATGTGGATGAGCCCAGTCATGAGGAAGCCTTCAAATTTGTCACAGTAAGTATAAACTATAATGTCATTGTGCAGTGTTGAAGGGAGATCAGGGGCGGTCGGGTAGCCTAGTGGTTAAAGCATTAGCTCGTCACGCCGAAGACCCGGGTTCGATTCCCAACATGGGTACAATGTGTGAAGCCCATTTCTGGTGTCCCCTGCCTTGATATTGCTGGAATATTGCTAAAAGTGGCGTAAAACCATACTCACTCACTGAAGGGAGATCATTTGGAGATTATTCTTGAAATCAAGTTCTCATCAGAAGTTAATTTTCAAAGTATTAGCCAGATCACCAGGCTTGTTTTAGCTCAGCTGACTGAAAGTCAAGTGAGCTTATGTTGAGGCCTGTTTGTCTGTCTTCTCATTAAGCATGTGACCGATGAAGCAGACATTTCAAATACTGATTTTCACCAACGACAACACCCATGGTTGTTCAAAAGATTAGAATCCAATTTTCAATATGTCCACCAAGGCAGCCATATTGACCTGATTTTACCTTTGGGATTCTGGGCTGGGCCTGGGATTTGTTCAAGATTAGAGTTTTTAAGCTACAGCTACAAACCAGATATTCTTTTATTTGAAACTATTAATCTACATTTTTTTAAGAACACCTTGGAACAATGTAATTTTTGTGGCAAACAATTTCTCTTTTTATTCAACAGTGTAAAGCATAATTAATTTTTCAAGTATTTTCGGGGACAATTTATTTTTCTTCGCTAAAATCCAAGGCCCCCACCAGAATATCAAATGGTCTTTTTCTTGCACTTAAAGCTTAAACTTTAAACTTCTTGTGGCCATTACCCATCCAGATTTTTACAAACTGGGGGGCGGTCAGGTAGCCTAGTGGTTAAAGCGTTCACTCGTCACGCTGAAGACCAGGGTTCGATTCCCGACATGGGTACAATGTGTGAAGCCTATTTCTGGTGTCCCCCGCCGTGATATTGCTGGAATATTGCTAAAAGCGGCGTAAAAACCATACTCACTCACTCACTCTTACAAACTGGAACAGGGCTGGGATGGGTAACTCGGGTACCTGGGTCGGGTGGGTACTGAGTAGGACCCAGGTACCCACAGGACTACCCGGACCCGTGGTTAGTCACGTGATATATTGTTTAATGACAAAAATGATCTAGAACTCTATGGTTACACTACAAGTCACTAATGTTCGCATTTCTTTCTGACTATGCACCCCTTCCTTCTGATTTTTCATATGGTTGAATAAACCTATAAGGGCTATGCTAAAAATGTTCCCAATCAGACATTTTGAGACGATCTCCTGAGACCTACAGCGGGTACATGGATAGGGGCGGGTAATAGGGGGGTGGGTACCCGGTTAGTAAGTTTGGACTCGTCCAAGCCCTAAACTGTAATGAAATTTATTTTAATTAATATGTTGTTACTAGCGGGTCTCAACACATGTTTCACTTGCTATATTTTAGAGTTTGACGTTGTTTTGACCATGCTCTTAAATGCTCTCAAAATGCATATTTGGGTCTGTATAAACTCCTCCTGAGCGAGCTGACTTTTTTCATGACTATCTCTCCTTTGATGACATGATAGTTTGTTCTGATCATTTAAATTTCGTATTTATGCAGAAAATATTTGTGTATCCACATTAACAGCAACCTTTTTAGCCATTTTAGACTATTGACTACTTATTCAGGTGAGCTACAGTGTCATAGCACTATTATGCTTAGCAGCGAAGGATAAACATAATATTGTGTTAATTCTAACAAAAGGCATGACTTATTTGGCTGGAATATGTTGAGCTGTCGGTTCCAAATGAAGTTTCTGGGCTTGAATAATAACACCCTCAAATATGAAAACATGTAAGTTTTTTTTGCCTACATATTGTACCGGAGTAGACTCAATGAATCAGAGGTTATAACCTATATATATCTCCAGTCCTGTGCGGAAGCTGTGGTGCCGTCGTATCTGCCAATCGTCTTGAAACACAAACATGATGGCTACAGCTATGATGAAAGGTAGTGTGTGAAAATAATTATGTTTGAACTGTTTATTTATGTAGGACCTTAAAGTGCAAGTCTCGTGGAATGTACAACTTTACAGATATGAAATTACACGCTTGATCTCACAAACCCACCCCTCCATTCCCATTTTAGCGGGCAAGCCTCTGCTCACGGTCATGGTCGACTGCATATGTTTTCGTGCGACTAACAGGATCGGGTGGTCAGGCTCGCTGACTTGGTCGATGCATATCATCGATCCCAATTGCGTTGATCGTTGCTTATGTTGTCAATCACTGGATTGTCTAGTCCAGACTCGATTACACCATATTGTACTTCATACTGGCTACATCATGATGTAAGAAAATCTATTGCTAGTTTTCATGATATGTACTTGCACTTTAAGATTATATATTTACACTGGCATCAGAATTAAATTTTATAAAAATGGCATATACTAGATTAAAATCAATGTTTTGATTTTGCAGTTTATTATCTAAATCTTTGCTGCACTTTTCAAGTTACGAACATTATTTTGTAGATAATTTCTTGATCAACATAAGTTGAAACTGTCATAAAATGAAACAAAGTTCAATGTTTGCACCAAATTTAATAAATCAGTGATACTTTAATATTTCAGAAAATGGCAGTTACTGAGGCGAGGCCGATATGTGGAGTTTAACTTGATCTACGATCGTGGCACCAAGTTTGGCCTATACACACCCGGCGCCAGATATGAGAGCATCCTCATGTCCCTGCCATTAAATGCTGTGAGTTCTATTCCGATTTGTGGTACTCTTTTTTCAAATTGACATAGGTTGGGAATCAGGGCAACATTCAATAATCAAATTCGATGTCAAGGTAATGATTTAGCAGATCCGGGGTAGAATAGGTCTTCAGCAACCCATGCTTGTCGTAAAAGGCGACTAAGGGGATCAGGGGTTCAGACTCGCTGACTTGGTTGAAACATGTCATCAATCCCAATTGCGTGAATCGATGCTCATGATATCAATCACTGAATTATCTGGTCCAGGTTCGATTATTTATACAGACCGCCGTCATATAGCTGGAATGGTGCTGAGTGCGGCGTAAAACAACAAACCAACCAACCAAACATAATTTAGCAACACCATGTACATGCAGATGCTACACGCTTTGTCCGAAATTTGACTATCGCAGTGTTTTGACCTAGATAATCAATCTGTGATCTATCAAACTATTATCATGGGTTCGAATCCCAGATTTGACCTGTTTATGTTCCTAGGTGTGTGAGCACCGGGCCTGTGCTCATGGGTTTCACCAAAGTGGTAAGCATCTGTATTCAGGCTCTTCTCCCACAGTAACATGACACCATCATATGATCAATACAGCATTAAACCCAATCTCATTAAAATCATATCTAAGTTCTCGCTGCCGCTAAACAAAGATCTGAGGACATCCCATTACGGGACACGTCAGAATGACCTTTCATCCTTCTAATCAAAGCGTCGGAACAGTCGGAATGTGTTTTCTAATGATTCAACCTCGAAAATGTTAACGTGGGGTATTCCGTATGACAGTTACGGCCCATATGACTGATTCCATCAAAATTATCGTTGATCTCTCGCTCCCGTGGGACAAACATTTGAACGGAGGAGGCGTTGCACAGTACATGGGAAGCACTGCCATACAATCTCAACCATATATTAGACATTGTGAAATCTTTGTTTGTTCAGTTTTAAAAATTTCAATCGAGAACTGTGTCAAAATATTTTTCAAGCGTAGTCTGAAATGGAAATCGCCAGGTTGAAACGAGTGGCGTAAAGCTCGAGAAAGCTGCTTTCTAATTGGCTGATCAGCGGTCGGTCAAAGTTCGCGAAAGGTCGTTCTGACGTGACCCGTAATGGGATGTCCTCAGATTTTTGTTTAGCGGCAGCGTGAACTTGGATCTGATTTTAATGAGATTGAATGTAACCCTTCTTCCCGAGGCAAGGGAGTTAACCGACTATAGAAGTCCAGTTTCCACCCTTGCCGAACTAGGCTGGTATTATGGAGTTATATTTTGGCTGGACAAACGAGTCCATGCATAATCCAATCAAAATCGTGTAACGAAATCGACATTCGGTTCATAAACAATATGGCGACTGCCTTGCAGATTTCGGTCGATTCAGGATTTGCAGAAAATGTGTGCCATCAACTGGGTGTTGACATATTTTCTAAATCTTTTCATGTTTTTAATCAAGGTGCTCACGTTATTTGATGCACTTTGTAAGGTAAGACCCACTTTATTAAGATATAGATCTTGATTAACGATCAGATCGTCTTGACTGGCACCACTATTTTGTTTGAAGCAAATGCAAGTCATGTGAAAGGTGGAATCTGATTGGCCAATAGGAGGGACATAGAAGGGACATAACTCGTAATAGCCACTGGTGACACTACGATCGAGCCCATAAATTCAGCCTAGTTCGGCAAGGTAGGAAACTGGACTTTTAGAGTCAGTTAACACCCTTGCCTAAGGAAGATGCATGTAACCAAACTCACTCACTCACTCTTGTCCTACAGAGGTGGGAGTACTGCCATTCTCCCACTCCGGGGTCCCGCGAACAGCAGCTGATGGACGTCCTCAAGAAGCCCCGTGATTGGCTGTCAGCGTAGACACGTCCTGTCATATTTTGACCATACCCACAAACGGATAAATGACAGCTGAATGGATGGATGGATGGATGGAGAGACACACAATTCTCATAATATTCATCAATATTTGTATATATGTACGCCTAACAACACAGTCCAAATAATAACATAGGATTGGTTTGATATCAGTCAATATAAAACATAAGTCAATTTGTGTTTCATTTTATTTGCATCCCTAAAATTTGTTTCACATCTGTAACTAGTCATCAGAAAAACTTATTATAACATATATTGAACAAAATTAATAGTTTTATTTATCCACCAGTGAGTGATTGCTGTTTTAATGCTGAAGTCAGCAATATTCTGGTTGTAACCAAGTGAAATCCTGCGTCTTATACACATAAAAAATGCAAATGGACACAAAAGAAATACAGAATGCATCGACTTTAAGGCAGAAAATTTGTATGCATGTTTAGGAATGAATACTGCTCTTTCATAATTTGATACCACGTAACGTTAATTTCAGTATGTTATCATTTAAAGAAGTCAATACGGGGTGGTCAGGTAGCCTAGTGGTTAAAGCGTTCGCTCGTCACGCCGAAGACCCGGGTTCGATTCTCGACATGGGTACAATGTGTGAAGACCATTTCTGGTGTCCCTCGACGTGATATTGCTGGAATATTGCTAAAAGCGGCGTAAAGCCATACTCACTCACTCACTCATAAAAGAAGTCAAAAGCTTCATGATCTGGTGCTAGCACTCGTAGTTTAAGTGGAATTTCAAAGCCATTTTAAACCTTTGGCCTCTGTGTGTGCTTCAAGGCATGGCAAAATAACAAGATTTGTGAATGTTTTTCAGCAGAGCAAGTTCGAGTACATCTGCAAAGCATGAGTAATACTTACATATGATATTACCGTATTCGACGTAATAAGCGCCCACGGTGATATTTATTAATATATTGGCTTGTGAACAGTCCCAATTAGCACCCCTTCCGATTGATCAATGTACACAAGACTTGTTTATCCGTGTATAATACGCACTCGTGTGTTATATGCACCCTCAATTATGGGCAATTAAATTCTGGAAAAATATATCTGTTGTATATAAATATTTCAGGCTGTCAGCATAAACCACGAAATTTATCTTTCAACTCTGTTTTTTTTCACTAAAATACCATTCTAATAAGAGCCCCCTATTTCTAATTTTGAGAGTGCCCCGTGCGCTTATTACGTCGAATACGGTACATATTATATGAGATAAAAAACAAGCAAGGAGTTAAGCTGTTTTATTTGAATTAACATGTATCATTCAGAGAAAATCATTACGGCCATACTCTTTACAATGATTGTATTGAGCAGACATGACTCTTGAAAGGCATTTTTCACGACAGTGCTCCTTACCTAAAGACTGATGTTGTCCCTTCAGTATATTGAGACTATTCATATATTTTCATACTTACTCTTTTGATATTATTTATTAGAATGTAGAGGTATTTGCAATAGAGGAGCATTACTTTGAAGTTTGAAAGGCTATGTTTTTGTTACGTGATTGTTTACGTCTCTTTACCAACCAATTAGCTTTGGGTGGTAAAAACCTATGTACATTAACAAATTTGTGCAGCTTGACGTTTTTTTATTTTGTTTGACATGAAGTTGGCGTTTTTTTCTGTAAAATGGGAACTATAATTGCCTGTTATGTTTGATGTGATACTATTATAACAGTAACATGTTAAGGTAAAACGCTTGTTCTCGCATTAGTTGTTTGACATGACCCGAGATTATGGAATACACTTGTTCAGCTGCCTTTTCTTGTTTTATGTCTGTCATTGATTCTTTCTATTTTTAAATCCATAAACTTTAGCTATTTTTATCCCCCCAGCCTATACTGGGGGGTTGGGGGGGGGGGAATATAATCATCTGGTCTGTTAGTCCATCTGTCTGTTTTTCGTTTCCCGAGCATAACTTGAAAACCATGAAATATTTTTCATCCAAACTTGCTACATGTATTAACCAGGAGCTGAAGTGATGCTTTTTGCATTTAAGGATTTTTTTAAATTTAATTTTTTTCCTGTTTCCATCTTAAGTTTGAAATTGACTCTGTTGATAGTCGGGCATTTGTCTGGATCACATCTCTAAAACTATTAGGTATTCTTTCATGACACTTTCCTCACACAAAGACCAGGTTGTCAACCTGTGGTTACCCGGGTCCTACTCAGGACCCACCTGACCCGAGTTACCCGTCCCAGCCCTAAAGTAAGCGTCATTTTGTGCACAATTGTCTATTTTACTTAACATGTGACTTTCCATATTTCTGACCAATCACGCTGCTTTTGAAAGTTCATTTGTAAGAAGAAAACATCCTGTAATCAAAATAATACATATCAAAACATCCTAACATCAACATAATAATTGGTTTATGTATGTCAGACTCAGATCTATGGTAGGACTCTGATCTGTGGCGGATTCTTTAAAATTACCACTTTAAAAATACTGTATTCACCATAATGTCCCAGGCGCTTAGACAATTGACAAAAGGGGTGCTTAACCTAAACAACTAGTTAACAGTTTTTAGAGTTTCAAGTGGTACCAACCAACAGCGTCAATGAAACTTAATAGTTACTATGTGATATATACCCCATTGATGTTCTGGTTTCATAAAAACATCTATAACGTACACAAGAAATTTACGGACTCTCGTGTAAATATTTGCAGTGTGGCGCGCTTATAAAGATTACACATACTTACAGCTGATCTAGAAGTTGGTCAAGGAGCTATATACACTGAGTTGTTTTGCAATTTCAGTGTTATTTTTATTTCAACCACCGACCCTAGTTTGTCATGTATCAAATTCTGTAAAACAAGTTATAAAAATTACCGTATTCGACGTAATAAGCGCCCAGGGCGCTCTCAAAATTAGAAATAGGGGGCTCTTATTAGAATATTATTTTGGTGAAAAAAAACAGAGTTGAAAGATAAATTTCATGGTTATGCTGACAGCCTGAAATGTTTATGTACGACAGATATATTTTTCCAGAATTTTATTGCCCATATTTAAGGGTGCATAGAGCACACGAGTGCGTATTATACGCGAATAAATTAGTCTTGTGTACATTGATCAATCGGAAGGGGTGCTAATTGGGATTGTTCACCAGCCAATATATCAGCAAATGTCACCGTGGGCGCTTATTAGAGCGGGGCGCTTATTACGTCGAATACGGTAGGCCTTTTGATGACGAGAGTGGAGTGATTTCATGTCTTACATCCTGACCTCTACAGAGTGTATTGTTACACCCCAGATATAACTATATATGTCTTCTAATTTATCTTGCCATAGCCAACCCTTAAGGTTATGTCATGTTAACATTAAGTTTGTTTTGTGCATTTGGACTTTTTTATGGTGCATTTATCTAATCAAGAAATTTATATATTCATAAATATTCATATATGTTTACTGTTTTTTGTGTGAATGCACTGATGAAGGTGTATGCATGATATAGATGTATGCATGATATCATTCTATCAAGCACTGTTTATAGAGTACAAGTATGTGTTATTAGCTGACCAGGAGATGGAAGGTTGTATATTGATTTTATTAAAGAGTCTGATCTGAGAACAGAGTTTGTTTTTCCTAAGTTTAAGCCACAATAAATTAATTATTAGATTTAATATGCATTTTTAAAAGAATGTGAGGTTGGAGGGTGGGAGGCAGTTTATGTTTACATTATATTGTTTTGAACACTGATTGTTCATGTTTCTTTGTTGTTTGACGCTGCACTCAGCAATATTCCAGCTATATAAAATGACAGCAGTCTGTAAGTAATCAAGTCTGGACCAGACAATCCAGTGATTGACATCATGAGCATCAATCCACGTAATTGGGGTACGATGACATGCATTAACCAAGTCAGCGAGCCTGACCATCTGATCCTGACAAGCATAGTCGCCTTTTACGGCAAGCATGGGTTGCTGAAGACTTATTCTACCCCAGATTTTTACGGGTCGACTGTTCATGACATATATGTACATTTATTTTCAACAGATGTGATTCACAAGAAGAATCAATGTTCGGTAAGACTAAATACATATGGTGTATTTCATTTAGAACTGTATCACGGGCAAGATCTTCTTGGATCACAGGCAGATACTTTGGGAAAATAAGCTGACGTCAGGCAAGGTGTTTGCTACGTTGTGAACATTTTGTTTTAAATATTCCTAATCTGGCGGTGATGGCAGGCTGACATAGAAGATTGTTTGTCTCTTCTAAACTTCCTTCCGGCGTGTGGTGTGTTCATAGAGTGGTCTCCCTTGTATATTGAGGAATCCAAGCTCCTTCCCAGCGCGTAACACCTTTGTTATACTCTCAGTATTATGGAGAGCTCCGTGGGCTATCGCTGTGAGGAGCTTGGTGATAAATGAGAGTAGCCCCCCTTTTATGAGTTGATTACCAAGCTCCTTCCCAGTGTATGACACATTTATTACACTCTCGATATAATTGAGAGCTCCGCGGGCTATCCCTGTGATGAGCTTGGTGACAAATGAGAGTAGCCCCCCTTTTATTTGTTGATTACCAAGCTCCTTCCTAGCGCGTAATTAACACCTTCGTTACACTCTCGGTATTATTGAGACCTCTGCGGGCTATCGCTGTGAAAATGCATCCCCGATCAGTGTATTCATCTTTTGTCGACCATGACATATCCTTGACACATTTGATACCATAGCTTTGTTTATGAAATGTATTGAATTTCACTCTGATAAAAAAAACAACTGTGCAATCAGATTATACTCATGTGCTAGAAATCATGTGCCAAGTTCATTCGTGACCAACTCGTGTTATTCCGGGACAAGCCGAATTGCAGGTTACGGAAAGGGGCGAGTGGTGACGAATGGTGCCAAGTTGAAATAAAAGATGGTGACGTCACTTCCGAAATGAAGTTTTGATGGCAAATGGATCGAGGGTTTTAATCACAATCGAACAGAGATAATAAATACCCTAGATAATTGATCATTGACCATATTATTATATACACATATTATTTTGGCTTCTATGTTAGTTTGCATCTCTTAACCTATTTCATTACCTTATACATAAATGTGTTCCATACTTGACGAATGGTGATTACATATATTTTACTGTTATTTACAATTCTTTTTACATTTTAAGTTCATGTAAGTTGGTTTATGTTTCTTTAAACATACGTGAAAAAAGATGTGGAAAGAAAAGTTACCTGTAAGAACTTCTCAAGTCTGGGATAAATGCTGTGTAGTTTATACTCAATTCAGCCTCGATTTCCCAGTGCATTATATAGAGAATCTAACCCGAGTGTCTTTTGATATCAAATATATCAACACGAGTTGATAAAAGTGGAAATATTCCGAGGCTTGCCGAGGACTTTTTCCACTTTTATCAACGAGTGTTGATATATTTGATATTAAAAGACACGAGGGTGATATTTTATTTATCATCCAACATCATTCTTCCAACTTTTTCAATTTGTAGACAGTTATCAGCAGTGTCTTCAGTGTAAAAAGTACTGCTAACAGCTTCTGTAGCAGAGCCATTAGTGATGTCATTTGATTGTGACGTCATGGTAACCAGTGACGTCACAATGGTCTGCAAAGCATTGTGATGTAATTTCATTGCAGCGATATCTACAGTGTAGATATCGCTTGATCTAATCCAAGCGATATCTCCTGTGGGAGCCAGTTTTGGATGATAAATCTCTCTTCTATTATGATAAATAGAATGTAATATGCTGGATAAGCGAGGAATAAATACTCTCTTGAAGTTAGTTTGTTTCCATTTCAAATGAACAGACGGAATAATTTTAACGTCAAGCCCTCCATTTCATTATTCCTTTATTTATTTCGTGAATTAGACTTAAAAAAACAGGGAGAAATATAACATTGAT